ATGAGCACCTTGAGTATTGGCCCTTAACGGTTGCAACATCACTTTACGTCCTGACTTGTATAGATACTGACCGACCTAGACATTACAATCCTAACCAAATAAGCATATATGCATGTTTGTGCCACGTAACCCCTTCTTGTCCGTCCGTGCCTCGGGGATTCCCTTTTATGCCCTCAACTCCTTCTACCCTGCACCTAGAGCACACAGCGCGTTTAGATCGCCTGTTAGCACTCTGACGATCAAGTCATCACAATATCATAGAGAGAGAAGTTGAGAGAGGCTCTACTGAGAGAATCTCAACTGAGTTAATGAAGTTTACGTACTCTCCTTTTTATACCAGGAGCCTTCCCGACCTACATCTCCCAAATCCGCCCTATGTTAGCATGGTAATTAATGCTTCATACCTTGCTTTAATCGTGTGCCTCGACCACCTGACGATGATTCAGTGAGTCAAGGCGCATGACATAATCATGTAAGCTTTTTGTACCATTTCGACTGATGTGTGTCTTTTGTCGTTATGCGTCCTTGCTGTCAGGACTTGTCGTTACGCGCCTCGGTTGTTAGAGACCCTCTTTTGGGTTGGTCTCTCTTTTTTCTTGGGCTTTGGCACTTTTGGCTCGGATTCCTTTTTTTTTTTTTTTTGCTCAAATTCCTTTGGATTTTCTCACATCCCCAACAGTGCAGTTACTCATTCTAATGAATCAACTAATTCCCTATTCTCTTTTGCAGCTGCATAAGAGAAGCGAAGCAAATAATCTGCATACCTGCGTATTAGGAAATGTTTACACTTAACTTGGCTGCACAACCTCTGACATTATTGTCCATTTGGGTATAGGTGTCAAAACAGAACCTGACCCGACTAACCTGCCCGATCAACCCGATCCGCAAACCGCCCGCAACCCAAATTGACTAAAAGTCAACGACCCGTAACCCGCCCGAATCATAACCCGATTGACTCGCAACCCAATTAAACCTGCAACCTGATTAACCCAAATCCAATTGTCCAGAACCCGACTAACCCGTAAATCAACTGACTCAACCCGAACTTCACCTAATCCACTTGAATAATTATTATATTATATAATACATAGTTTTTCAAAAGAAAATTTTCTATACTAAAATTACGTAAAATTATTTTTTTCATTTCGTATAGGGAATTTAACAAATATGAATTATTTTAAGAAAATTACTAAAATTGAAACATGAAGGTCACTTGAACACTAAGTTATTTAAAAAAATTAAAAATAAAATCAGTACAATGTCAATATTAATAATGGAAAATTAATAATTGAGATCATTGACAATATTAACATAATATATAAATTAAGATTTTTGCTAATTTAATTATTCAATAAAGTTATCAATTAAATATAAATAAAGTAAAGTAATGTAATATAATGTATTTAGTAATTTGATAATTTTAAAAGAAGAGAGAAATTTTGGTGTATTCAACTTTTTGGAAAGAGAAAGAAGATGTAAATTTGGTTCTTTGAATTTTTTATGAAAGAACAAGGGAAAATTTTGGTGGTTTTTATTTTTGGGAAGAGAAAGAAGTGGGAAAGTTTGGTTCTTTTGATTATGACCGAAAAATAAGGAGGGAAATTTTGAATTTTCAACTTTTTGTGGAAGAAAGGAGGAGGAAAATTTGGTTCTTCAATTTTATGGAAGAAAAAGAGGAGGGGAAATTGAGTGTTTCTAATTTATGTAAGGAGAAAGAATGAGGGGAATTTTTGTATTTTAATCTTTTTCTTTTTTTGTGAAAAGAAAGAAGGAAACAAATTTGGTAGTTTCAACTTTTTGGGTTTTTCAAAAATTTTAGCATTTGAAATATGAATCTTTAATTTTTATATGGAGGGCAGGACTAATAAAATTTATTCATATGTGCTTTGAGGGACCAAAAAAGTCGCCCCCAACCCGGCCGACCCAAAAACCGATGAGCCCACAACTCGATTTGCACGCAACCCGTTTGAACCAGAACATAATTAACCCGAAACTCGACTAACCCGCAACCCAATTGAATCCACTCTAAACCCGCCCGATTAACACCTATAATTTGGGCTCCCAGTAAGCTAACTAGCTTATTACCCGGCCCGTTGGCCGGATTACTGTATGTTACCCACTTGTGGAATGGGAGAGAAAGCAAGTGAGAGTGAAGGGATTGGGATTCCATTTGATTATGACCGACCCACTAATCCGATTCTTCGCAAACCGCCCCAACCTAAAGGATCAGAAAGAGTCAATAAGAAAATACGAACGGAGAGGATTAGTAATATATCTTGACTCTTCAGAAGTGGGTCAAACAGGATCAAGGTTGGTTGAAGGCAATTGTTAGCACTAAGCAGAGTTCTGAGTTGAATAACTTTACTTAGGCCTAGAAATTGGTGCTGATGCAGACTGCAGTTTTTATTATACCATCATCAATCATCATTGAATTAGTCTTGGGCATCCCTCCCCGTTGTCGGTCTGAATTCTAATGATGGCTTCATTCCTTGCACCAGCCATATCAGCGTGTTGTCATCTCGAGCATGATTTGCCTATGTACAAATGATAAAATTAGAGTATGAAACTGAATTCAAAGAAAATGAAAAGAGAATTATATCACATGCCAATAAATACACAGATAATAGTTGAAGCTAAGTGAAAGTCATTACTCTCACATCAATTCTCAAAAATTACAGACTAAACAATGGCTAGAATGGCACTGAAACTACCAAGAATCATGGACAAAACAACTTGTCAAATTAAATAATTCTTATACTGAAACTACCTTCTAACTTGAAATAAGACATGATCACAATTCATAGCACTCTTATCACTATGAATTGGTTGCAGCTCGTCCTTATCACTACCTCCCAAGCTCAATTCAAACAGAATAGAGACAGTTATGTAAGAAAACCATATCCTTACTGATCATAATTCCTTAACTTCATTTTTGTCGGAGAAACGAGTTATCCACCTCTCCTTCATTTCCCTTTCCCCCTCTCTTCTCCCTCTTCTTCACAAACCGATCCCTAAACCAGCAACAACAACACAAAAATAGCCTTCGCCTCTGCCATCTCCATCTACTGAACGCGTTGGTGGCAAGACAGGACTGCAGAAGCAAAATTTTCTAAAATCAAACTAACTTTTTTGAAGGAGACTCAACCACTAAAAAAGAGTAAAGCAACAATGCTAATAGTTCAGATGGTTGGTTTTGAAGTTATACGTTGCTTTTGTTATAGTCTCCAGTATATCAACTGCAACAGAGATGTTTCCTCCAATCATCTTTAGTGCACGATTTAGAAGTAAGTCCTCTTGTTTGTGTCAAACGGAAACATTCATGGGTTCTTAACTCCCCTGTTAGTGTAAAAGTAGCAGCAGCAGCAAAGAAGTTTGACAACACAGCAAGCACCCAGGCAAAATGATACAATGCAGTAGGTGATATGTGTCTCGAAGGTTTTGAGTTACTAAAGTTCATGTTAAAAATAAACATGAATTAAAATGGATTATTCTATTAAGCAAACATCCCCTCTAATCATACAAAGATCAGATATCCAATTCACAAACAATTAAGCCATAAAATATCATCACACATCCACCACCTTTGATTGCCTAAATTTGGTTTTTCGCAAAGTTATGGACTCTTAAGGGTAACGTTCATGGGTAGTCTGTTTCATAACTCTAGAGAGCACAGTAAGCAGCCACCAGCCAGACACAGTGCGGTAGGCGAATATGATTCTCAATTCACAATTTCTCACCACCAGAAGTCAGAACAGACCACAATAAGCGTAGCGTTCATGGGTGGTCTATTTCATAGCACTACTAATCAATTTGTTAAAAAAGAAAGAAAGGTATTTAGCACCACGGCAGAACAACTTTTACAGGCCAACAACGACAACATGCTGCAACCACCAGAACTGGTATCACAACTCATACGGAAAATCAAAAGATTTACTCTCAAATTAAGCAGTTACAACATCGAGCAATTGTCAAGCACATACACCATCACAAAAGTCACGAAACCTGATGCACAAAGCATTCAAACATTTGAAGACATTTCTGCAAAGGTACAACTTATATGTCTTTTTTCCAAGCCATTTCCATCAACATGCTAATAAATTTGCAATGCATAAAACAAACGGGCCAAAACTTGAAATTCAGCCTGTTTGACCGACCCATGCCAAATTCTAATTATTCTTTACTTTTAAACTTTCTATTTGAAAATAAAAAATAGTGAAAGAAAGAGACGACTGCAATTCGCCATTTGCACATCACTTATTCGGGAATAAAACCATAGAAATTCAAAAGGAACTGAAAATGTTTAAGATCGTTATAATGTTTAAAATAACCAAATATATCTTTATGTTTAGTTTTTTACTAACAAATACCAAACGATTCCCTATAAAATACACTATAATTTGATCATTATGATATCAAATAATTTGAAATGATAAAAATTGGACTAATTGTGTTGGTCGAGGTTGAACCATTGAATAACTTTAAAATACATTATATTTTAGCCACTAAGATATAAAATAATAGCATAGTATATATTATGCCAGAGAAATTAGCTTGTTTTAGAATGACAAACCAATGATGTTCATTTGTTTTACTTGATGGCAAAATCCCATGTAGGTCAGACCCATTCAACTCTTTTATTTTATGGTTAGCGGTTAGCCCATTAGATACCATGCATTAGTTTATTGTTAAATTTTTTATTTTTAACAATAAAAAGGAGTATTATTTTTTCCTTTTCGTATATTTTTATCACCACGGAGAAATAAAAGGGCTTAAAGAAAAAAAATTGACACTCCTGGACCCGTTTAAATTCACATGTGTATGGTAAGTTGGCCCGTTCCACAGAGAAAAGAGAAAACAATTGACACTCGCTATTCTACCCTTCCTATAAAGTACAAACGCTCATGTAGCAGGGAATTTAAAATGGGGGAAGGGTTTTTTCCTCCATGCTATTATATGTTTTTAATTTAAAAAGATACAACAAATGTGCTTAGTGTGATTGGTTATTATCCTTACTTTTCTTTAAAATGGTCATGGTTCGAATCTCAGTACGTGTCTTTTTAATGAATAAAAAAAAGTAATTGTGAAGACCAAAATGTCCTTCCTACTTTCACTCTCGTTGCAGGAAATTTGAAATGGAGCTCTGTTTTCCCTTCCGCTTATTATAAGTATAGTAGATAGATAGATAGATTATTTCGCTGGTAGTGGGAATATGTAATTGTATTATTTTAGTAGTGGTCATGTTATAATCAATTTAGTAGAGATGGAACAAGTTTGAAATGTGGTTGGGACTTGGGAGGATAAATTGGGGTCCCAGTAAGCTAATGTGAGGTATGAAACATGCTAATTAGTGGTTTTGCTTGCTTCTTGTGATGGCGACTTTTGGGGCTACAACAAAGTAGACGATCAGAGTAGACTTTTTGGGTAAATAGTAGTTGGAAGCCTTGTCAACATGGTTGTCATGCCACTTCCGGCCGATTGAACCATGTTCAACCGATACCGGTCATGAAATCGGCTGAAATGCCACCAATAGGATGCCTCGGTCAATTCGGAACGGGATGGCATGCTAACTTCCTAATAATTAGCACCATACTAACCCCATTAATCACTCTTCATCTTTTAATTCCACTTCCAACTGTAAATTTTAATTAGGGACAATTTAGAAATTTTCAAATTAAATCAATTAGAATATAAAATTTCCAAATATTTATCTCTCTACCCGTCATTCACGTCTCCCTTTCTCCCTCTTCCCACTCTTCCTCGCATCCCTCTCTTTTTCCTCCCTCACTTTCTATCTCCTTTGATCAAATTAATTTTTTTTTCTCATAGTAATTTAGGTCATAAATATTTTCTAATAGTGGTTGTGTCCAGATATATGTAGTGATTTGGATGTTTTGTAGTAGTAATTTATGGTTTTTGATAGTTATTTGATGTCTTGTAAAGTTGGAGTAGTGATTTCATTTATGTTAATAGTGAATAGTGATACATATTTTATATTAAATCAATAATCACTACGAAAGGATAACTACTAAAAGCTTAGAATCTATATAAAACATCATTACAAAGACTATGAAATCACTACAACATTGTAATGACTACTATGAAATCACTACTATAAAATCACAACTAAAAATTAACTACTACGTACATTCTAATATCCAATGTTCAGATTCACAAAAGTACTAATGCAAAGAATCACTATTGCTACTATTAAATCGCTACGACTTATTATAAACCCACACACCACTTCCCTATCCATCATGATCGTGATCTGTCAAGATCCACAACTAATTATCGCCACCATCCCTGCATCCATGATCGTTACGATGGATTGAAGGGTCGACTTTGCCGCTCCTTCTCCCTAATAAAAAAACCTCCACCGCTGTGACGACCTTTAACCTCTCCCTCCATCGCTTTGAGTTCCGCCAGCCGATGCTTCTTTGGATAACACTGGTTAGCAACTTTTCCTCTGCATTGCTTTCTTTGGTCGATTCGATGTTGGATCTGGGAGGTAGAGTCGGAGCAGAAAGGATGAGAGGGACTGAGATAATAGAGCGACATTTGAAAGGGATGGTGGAGAGAGGCGGATGGAGGGCGCGAGAGGGAGAGAGACACTGTTGTAGTGGAAGAATGGAGGTTAAATAGAATTAGGATTGTGTTTATTTGAATGGTCTAAAATGACCTCCATTTAATTATAGCCGTAAGATTACTATTTTCATCTAATGACTAAAAATATGGTTCGCATGGTGATAACCCTATTATTAGTTATCACTCTATCTATTCCCAGTCAATTCCGGTCAAAACCGGAAATTTTGGGTGGTCCAACCGGAAAGCATAATTCCGGATATTGAGTGAAGCGCCGTCGTTTGATGTCATTCAATTAAAAAAATTGGGTGGCTTTTCAGTTTCGTAGTGAGACCCCTTCATTCAGCGCCATCGCGAGACGCCTCTTGCTCTTCCCTGCCGTTCTCTTTCCTCCGTCTACTAACCCTAACTCTGCATAGCAAAGGGCTCGGTGGCGCGACAACAAGGCGACGGCCAGGCTGGCTGGCGAGGATACGGTGGTGGATTAGGCAGCCGCAGGGACTCTACACTCGACTGGGCGGGGAGACACCACCGCGGTGAGGAATCCGACAATGCCCTCTTCTCCACTCTCTGCCCTACCTGCCGCAGTCGCCTTCGCAACTTCGATCCCTCCCCCATCGCCTATCGACACCTTTAATTTACATCCTGCCGCCATGAATTATTTTATCAATTGCTCGCCTCCCCGAAAGCTAATTCAAAGGCCCCTTAAATGGTGGATCCTCTTTGCTCGGCTCTTCTCCAAAAAATTTCACAAAATAATTACTTGAAAACAAATAAGTTCAAAACTCAATTTTGAAAACCATGATGCAGGTAATTTCATCCAATATACCAATACACATAATAATGTCAAACTCAATTCCCAGTTTCAGTCATTATGGGGTACTCCCCTCCTTAGGAATGTTTAAACTCCCATAGGGTATAGTACGCCATAACAGCAAAAAGAGGGAACCGGGCTCTGATACCAAACTGTAACACCCTACCCTATACGTTTTGCCTAATCATACTGTTCATACAATTGCAGCGGAATTAATCTCGGGTGTTACATTAATTATCAAAATTTACCTAAATAAAATTTCGACATGAATTACTCGCGTAATGGGCTAACAGTTCTTCCATATGATCCTGCAAAATAATTCATCTGAATCCATGCATTCATAAACAAACACATATACTCACAACCATATGCATTGGCTTTTCATAGCCATAGTCACACTTTTCATACTCCACAACTGCATACCATACTTATACATACCATAATCGTCACAACTTACACAGTTACACAACATATACACATATCATCAACTTTCCACACCTATGGATATCTCACACTAGATCAGAAGCTAGTATGCACATGAAAAACGTTCTCAAAACATTTTTACCAAAAAGGTGTGGATCACTGGCCAAAATCCCAAGTAGTCGTCCAAGCACAGAATAGTTGAAGACCATACCTCATCTTGGCTTCAACTCTAGCTCCTCTCCCACCTAACACTTATCTACTGCTGCTGTTGATGATCTGCTTACACATAGCATAAGCTGAGTGAGATAATCATAGCATCGTGAGTTCATAACAGAGCATACCCCTACCATACATCTAGCAAACAAGCCAAAGCACTGGGATCATATCTCAGCTCTCCGACATCCCAATAGGCAAAAGACTCAACCACCTTGACTTATGCATATGCATCTTATCATGTTTTAATCATAGGCGCCTGGCTACTCCCATGCTAATAACTCTCCCGGGAAACATACCCCACATCCCGTCGGATGTAGTCATACATACCCCAACATCCCGTCGGATGTGGTCATACATACCCCACACCACTATGGGTGTAGTCATACCCCGACACCACTCTGGGTGTGGTCATATCTCGTAAGAATTCTTCAGTCACCACCCCATGAGAGGTGTGACTATCATACATATCATAATAGAGTAATAGCATAGGGAGCCCTAATTACTATGTAGTTCACCGTGAGACCACAACACTCATATTTGGTATCCTTATACATGATTAATATATCATCTTGCTTAATCATAATTCATTACTTGCACATGTACTTAACCTGGCCATAATTGGCTCAACATAGGTAAATCAGGAGTCGTATAATTGCACTTCCTCGGGATAAACCTTCGTGCCAGTCATCCTCCTTAAACGTCATAATATCACCAGGGAACATATATTTTCCCACATGTGCATCCAAATACAACAATCATGAAAAATCATACATAATCACCTTCTCGAACCATCGTAAAGCATATTAATAGTCAAGCCCACAATTTGCAACATATACACAATCATCAGCATAAACAAGGTTCATATCGATTAGGGCAAGTCAATAATATCATACAGCAATCCAGGGTTCAACATATAGCACAAAAGCTCATACACCCCTAATCATGCCATTCTAGTTCACCTAGATCAATTCTAAGCATCAATATAATTATCGTGATACGACAAACCCGGTATGCCGTGCTAATCCCTCACCAGTTTTGGCCGTTCAAACACCAGTTCTAGCCTCCCGTACTAAAACGTCAATTTCACAAACGAACCCCGAATTAAAATCCGAGATTGTCCTAACATCCCCTGCAGTATCCCCGTCAATATTAGTTCTAGGCTCCGGGTCAAATTCTTGGTAAAAACACATCAAACCCTGGCCGGAGCTAAATTCAGCGGTTTGGACCCTGGCCTAAATAATAGCCGAAATTCAGGGATTAGAACTAGGGTATTGATTACCTCGCTGCAGAAAGCTCGTATATGAAATTTGGGCTCAATCCGGCTTCCGGATACTCCGAAACCCTAATTTGGCTTATCGGGAATTCAAGAAATTCCTGAACCAAAAACTCGTTTTAAAGCTCTAAATCGATAAATCACGATGTATGGATGAATTAGACATTACTTACGGGATTTTTGGATCATTAAAACTTAAGATTTGAGCTCTGAGAATTTCCGTGCTCACCTCCCCTGCGCGCCCTCTGCTCCAGTTCTCTCGGTCCAGAAAAGAAAGAATGCAACGATGATGATGGAAAGAAAATGGGACGCGTGGGGAATTAAATGGACAGTGTATTATATATATATAATATTATATTATATTATATAATATATATAATTAATACGTATACTTATCCGATCGATCGATAATCCGATTTTCGTCAAAATAGTGTCGAAATGCTCGATTTTAAATCGTGAAATTTTCTAGCGATCGAAATATGGGTTTTGCCGTAACGGGATGTTACAATTCTCCCCTCCTTAAGAGATTTCGTCCCCGAAATCGAACCTTGAGTCAAACTCTAACTCCTCTTACTTACCCTTAACATGGTCTATCATACATAAAGTCATTACCTAACTCTTAGGTTAGGCAATTCATAACATAGAAAATAACACATAACACCTCAAGTTCCCATGGTTAGGTTTCAAAAACCTATACTAGGCTATCACAACAAAAGCACATCAACAAGCTGAAAACATAACTTATTAAGCAAGATTGTTAACCTGCAAAGTATGTCGCTACCAACTCAGGGTACTTCTCTCGCATACTTGCTTCAGTCTCCCAGGTAGCACTCTCACTATCTTGATTTCTCCAAACCACTTTCAACATTGGGATTTCCTTCCTACGAAGATTCTTAATCTGGTAATCAACAATCTCAACTGGAACCTCCTCAAAAGTTAAATCTAGACCCTACTCAATCTCCTCTGGTTGTATAACATGGGAAGGATCCACTCTGTACCTCTTCAGCATACTAACGTGAAATACATTGTGGATTTGGGATAGCTCTGGAGGCAATGCTAGTTTATATGCCACAGGTCCAATCTTCTCTGTGATTTCATATGGCCCAATATATCGAGGTGCAAGCTTTCCTTTCTTACCAAATCTCATCACCCCTTTCCATGGTGACACTTTGAGAAATACTTTCTCACCCACTTCGAAATTAACTTCACGCCTATTCGTGTCAACATAAACTTTCTGTTGATCTTGAGCCACCCTCATACGCTACCTGATTTCCTTGACCTTATCAACTGTGATCTGAACTATCTCTGGCCCTGAGATTTGCCTTGCTCCTTCTACATCCCAACATAATGGTGTCCTGCATTTCCTCCCATAAAGTGCTTCATATGGTGGAACACCCAAGCTACTATGGTATTGGTTGTTGTAAGCAAACTCTATTAGGGGCAAATGGTTAATCCATGATTCTTCCCATTGCATTACACATGATCGAAGTAATTCCTCCAAAGTTAGGATGGTTCGTTCACTCTGCCCATCTGTTTGAGGATGATAAGCTGAAGTAAAATGCAGTTTAGTTCCCAAGGCATCATGTAAACTTTGCCAAAACCGAGATGTGAAGCTCGGGTCTCGATCAGAGACAATAGAAATTGGCACACCATGCAATCTGACGATCTCCTTAATATATAGTTGAGACAAAGTCTCCAGTGATGGTTTCCATCTAATGGGTAAAAAGTGAGCCAATTTGGTCAGTCGGTCCATAATAACCCATACTGCATCCTTTCCCCTTGATGATGGGAGACCATATACAAAATCCATTGTGATTCTTTCCCACTTCCATTCTGGAATTGGAAGTGGTTGCAGTATCCCTACAGGAGCTTGATGTTCTGCCTTAACTTTCTGACATACCATACATGTGAAAACATGTTCAGCCGCTTCCTTTTTCATCCCACGCCACCAAAAATATGGTTTGATCGTGTGATACATTTTAGTTGCTCCTGGGTGCATAGCATAAGCAGAAGAATGAGCTTCATCTAGGATCTCTTTCCTCAAGTTATCAACATTAGGAACACATGCTCTTCCGTTAATCTTCAACATGCCATCTACCATTTCAAATGGGCTTTCTTTTCCTTCCCCAATGTCTTGAATGATTTTTGCCAACTCTGGATCCTCCTTCTGCTTCTCACGAATTTTGTCGTGCAACAAAGGTCGAATGTTCAACCGAGCTAGTAACCCTGTTACACCATCCAATTCCAAATCAACATTCATTGCCCTCAAATCAACCAGATCCGTTATATTCTTCTTGCCTTTTCTGCTCAGAGCATCAGCAACTACATTAGCTTTACCTGGATGGTAATTAATGGTACAATCATAATCTTTCAACAACTCTATCCATCTCCTCTGGCGACTATTTAAATCCTTCTGATCCATAATATACTTCAAGCTTTTGCGATCAGTTAGGATTTTAAAAGTCTCACCATACAAATAATGTCGCCAAATCTTGAGAGCAAATACCACCGCTGCCAATTCTAAGTCATGGGTGGGATAATTTACTTCATGAGGACGCAATTGCCTAGAGGCATATGCGATAACTCTTCCATCTTGCATTAACACACAACCCAATCCTTGATACGAGGCATCACTATACACCACAAACTCTCCATGGTTTGAAGGTAAAGCCAATACTGGTGCTGTGGTCAATTTCTTCTTCAGTTCATCAAAACTCTTTTGACATGATTCATCCCAACTCACCACTGCTTCCACCTTTTTCGGATCCACCTCGACACCTCTTCCAGAAATTACATGTCCCAGAAATATTACCTCCTTCAGCCAAAACTCACATTTTGAGAATTTTGCATATAATTGTTTCTCCCTTAGAATTTGAAACACAATTCTAAGGTGAGTTTTGTGCTCCTCCTCGCTTTTAGAATAGATGAGAATATCATCCATGAACACAATCAAAAACTTATCAAGATATTAATGGAAAACTCTGTTCATAAGAGCCATAAATACCGCTGGTGCATTAGTGAGTCCAAAAGGCATTACCAGGAACTCATAATGCCCATATCTTGTTCTAAAAGCAGTCTTTGAAGTTGCTCCATCTGCCACTTTCAATTGATGGTATCCAGACCTCAAATCAATCTTAGAAAAGACTGATGCACCCTGCAATTGATCAAACAAATCATCTATTCTTGGAAGGGGATAACGATTCTTCACTGTCGCCTTATTCAACCTCCGGTAGTCAATGCACATTCTCATGGAGTCATCTTTCTTCTTGACAAACAAAACCGGTGCACCCCAAGGTGAGATGCTAGGTCGAATAAACCCCTTGTCTAGCAATTCTTGCAATTGTTCTTTAAGCTCCTTCAGCTCAATTGGTGCCATTGAAATTGGTGTTGTGCCAGGTACCAATTCAATATCAAACTCTACTTCCCTTTCTGGTGGAAGGCCGAGAAGTTCTTCGGGGAATACATCAGGAAACTCCCTTACCACCTCTACATCCTCAACCTTCTTATCATTTACTACAGTAACTTGAGCAAGAAAGGCTTCACAACCTTCCTTCACTAATCGAAGCTTCCAAGGCAGAAAGAAAACCATGAGTCTCTTTTTTCTTAATGCCTCGGAATACAACAAGACCTTTATTTGGTGTGTTAAATAACACTTCTTTCTTTTGACAATCCACAACAGCTCCATGTGTTGCCAGAAAGTCCATTCCAAGGATGACATCAAATTCATCAAAAGGTAGCAGAATTAAATCTGCTGCTAGGAAAGCTCCTTCCACACAAATGAAGGAACTTCTAATAACTGAGTCTACCTTCAAGGTATCTCCCACAGGTGTTTTAACACATAAGGTATAACCTAGCTTATCTGGAACTAAGCGTAGCATATGTGAAAACGTATATGACATGAATGAGTGAGAGGAACCAGTATCGATCAAAGCATATAATTGCTTGCCAAGGATAGAAAGCATACCAGTCACAACTTCTGGTGCCACTTCTGCCTCACCTCGAGTCATTGCATAAACCCTAGGTGCTCCCTGTGCTCTGGTACCCTGCGTACCACTTCCTGATGGTTGATTTCGACCACCACCTCTACCACCCTGTGAACCACCACGACCACTCTGAAATCCACTACGGCCACCCTGGTAACCACCCCTGAATGGGGCTCTACTAAATTGCACTGAAGGCTCGGACTGTGTAGCTCTTACTTCTCTCGAATGCGGGCAATCCCTCATGATGTGCCCAGGTTGGCCACAGTGAAAGCATACACCAGAAAATCTCCTACACTCTCCAGGATGCCTCTTGTGACAAACTTGACAAAATGGAAATTGTGTGGCTGAGCAAATTGGTGCCCTATATGATGTTCCTGACATAGATTGACTCGGTGTTCTCCCAAAACTGCTAGGACCTCTCCTGGGTGGGTAACGAGGTCCAGCATAATTTACTCCAAACTTCCTCTTCTTCTCCTCTTCTTTGGCCTTGTGTTCCTCTCGGCTCTCAACTTCATAGGCTTCATACTTAAGTGCTGCCTCCTTGATTGTGGCCATACTCTCTTCATCAACCCTGTGGACCTTTTCTTTCAATCCTATGCGCAGACCATGCAAGTATCTCATCTTCTTCTTATGCTCAGTATCCGCCAACCCATCCTCAAAGTAAAGTAGTCGAACAAACTTGATGGTGTACTCAGTAACTGTCATATTCTCCTGCTTAAGGTTGGCGAATTCATTGTTCTTTGCCCTGATAAAAGCTTCGGGAAGAAACTCTGTCTTAAAGGCCTTCAGGAACTCCTCCCAGGTGAAATGAACTCGTTCACCATTAACTCTAGAGACTGAGGACCACCAGCTCCTCGCGTAGCCCTTTAGGAGAAAAACACCATATTATACTTTTTCCTCTGGGGTTGCATAAAGATATTCAAACACATCTTCCATCTCCCTCAACCACTCTACCACAGCATCCGGACTCACATCTCCTTTAAAGTCCCTACCACCCAAACTCTTCATCTTTGCACAGTCTAATACTGGCGGACTTGCATCAACCGCCCCCACTCCTCTCGACTGGTCAGTAGGAACATTTTCACAACTTCCGTGCGAACTACAAGGAAATATTGGCCTTAGATTGATCCACACAAAATTCATTCTTCACCAAATCTCTCACTTGGTTAAAACAAAAATTTTCACAAAATAATTACTTGAAAACAAATAAGTTCAAAACTCAATTTTGAAAACCATGATGTAGGTAATTTCATCCAATATACCAATACACATAATAATGTCAAACTCAATTTCCAGTTTCAGTCATTATGGGGTACTCCCCTCCTTAGGAGTGTTTAAACTCCCATAGGGTATAGTACGCCATAACAGCAAAAAGAGGGAACCGGGCTCTGATACCAAACTGTAACACCCTACCCTATACGTTTTGCCTAATCATATTGTTCATACGATTGCAGCGGAATTAATCTCGGGTGTTACATTAATTTTCAAAATTTACCTAAATAAAATTTCGACATGAATTACTCGCGTAATGGGCTAACAGTTCTTCCATATGATCCTGCAAAATAATTCATCTGAATCCATGCATTCATAGACAAACACATATACTCACAACCACATGCATTGGCTTTTCATAGCCATAGTCACACTTTTCATACTCCACAACTGCATACCATACTTATACATACCATAATCGTCACAACTTACACAGTTACACAACATATACACATATCATCAACTTTCCACACCTATGGATATCTCACACTAGATCAGAAGCTAGTATGCACATGAAAAACGTTCTCAAAACATTTTTACCAAAAAGGTGTGGAACACTGGCCAAAATCCCAAATAGTCGTCCAAGCACAGAATAGTTGAAGACCATACCTCATCTTGGCTTCAACTCTAGCTCCTCTCCCACCTAACACTTATCTACTGCTGCTGCTGATGATCTGCTTACACATAGCATAAGCAGAGAAGAAGAATAAAAGAGGGTTAGCTCATAGCTGAGTGAGATAATCATAGCATCGTGAGTTCATAACAGAGCATACCCCTACCATACATCTAGCAAACAAGCCAAAGCACTGGGATCATATCTCAGCTCTCCGACATCCCAATAGGCAAAAGACTCAACCACCTTGACTTATGCATATGCATCTTATCATGTTTTAATCATAGGCGCCTGGCTACTCCCATGCTAATAACTCTCCCGGGAAACATACCCCACATCCCGTCGGATGTAGTCATACATACCCCAACATCCCGTCGGATGTGGTCATACATACCCCACACCACTATGGGTGTAGTCATACCCCGACACCACTCTGGGTGTGGTCATATCTCGTAAGAATTCTTCAGTCACCACCACATGAGAGGTGTGACTATCATACATATCATAATAGAGTAATAGCATAGGGAGCCCTAATTACTATGTAGTTGACCGTGAGACCACAACACTCATATTTGGTATCTTTATACCTGATTCATATATCATCTTGCTTAATCATAATTCATTACTTGCACATGTACTTAACCTGGCCATAATTGGCTCAACATAGGTAAATCAGGAGTCGTATAATTGCACTTCCTCGGGATAAACCCTCGTGCCAGTCATCCTCCTTAAACGTCATAATATCACCAGGGAACATATATTTTCCCACATGTGCATCCAAATACAACAATCATGAAAAATCATACATAATCACCTTCTCGAACCATCGTAAAGCATATTAATAGTCAAGCCCACAATTTGCAACATATACACAATCATCAGCATAAACAAGGTTCATATCGATTAGGGCAAGTCAATAATATCATACAGCAATCCAGGGTTCAACATATAGCACAAAAGCTCATACACCCCTAATCATGCCATTCTAGTTCACCTAGATCAATTCTGAGCATCAATATAATTATCGTGATACGACAAACCCGGTATGCCGTGCTAATCCCTCACCAGTTTTGGCCGTTCAAACACCGGTTCTAGCCTCCCGTACTAAAACGTCAATTTCACAAACGAACCCCAAATTAAAATCCGAGATCGTCCTAATATCCCCTGCAGTATCCCCGTCAATATTAGTTTTAGGCTCCGGGTCAAATTCTTGGTAAAAACACATCAAACCCTGGCCGGAGCTAAATTCAGCGGTTTGGACCCCGGCCTAAATAATAGCCGAAATTCAGGGATTAGAACTAGGGGATTGATTACCTCGCTGCAGGAAGCTCGTATATGAAATTTGGGCTCAATCCGGCTTCCGGATACTCCGAAACCCTAATTTGGCTTATCGGGAATTCAAGAAATTCCTGAACCAAAAACTCGTTTTAAAGCTCTAAATCGATAAATCACGATGTATGGATGAATTAGACATTACTTACGGGATTTTTGGATCATTAAAACTTAAGATTTGAGCTCTGAGAATTTCCGTGCTCACCTCCCCTGCGCGCCCTCTGCTCCAGTTCTCTCGGTCCAGAAAAGAAATAATGCAACGATGATGATGGAAAGAAAATGGGACGCGTGGGGAATTAAATGGACAGTGTATTATATATATATTATATAATATATATAATTAATACATATACTTATCCGATCGATCGATAATCCGATTTTCGTCAAAATAGTGTCGAAATGCTCGATTTTAAATCGTGAAATTTTCTAGCGATCGAAATATGGGTTTTGCCGTAACGGGATGTTACACCATGTTGTTTTGATCTTTGATTATCATGTATGAATTAATTTTTATGTAATTTTGTTAAAACCGACACTTACCGGCATATGCCACGGTTGAACCGTTCCACTTGCAAAACCGGCATACCTTGCTTGTCAATTTCAACAGACGCGTGTTATATGAGTGGGAGTAATATTAGATTTATTATTCAAAACTCGATCTATAAAGCCCTAGCTGGTACTTAAGTTGCATATGTCAAATTGCATTTGAAACCCAAACTGGAGGGGGGACAACATATATAAATGAATTCTTGTACGATATGATGTATTTGAAGAAAGTTCAGATGCATAATTAACATAAATGAAAATGATGATGGATCCAGTGTCGTTTTGGGTATTAGTAGTAAGTAAGCTTTCTCGGGTCAGATGGAGAATGAAAATGGGGAGGATGAGGATGAGGATGGTGATGGTCAAAGTGCATGTGCGCCAGCTTATTAACAATGCTCCCTCCTGTCCTCTCCTGTAGAAGCAATGCTCGCTTCTCCTCTTCCGCCCTCTCCAGCTTCTCCTTGGTCATCACCTTGACGTCCGCCACGGCCCTTACCATGGTGGCGATGGCACCAGAGACCCAGGAAGCACCGGCGGCTACGTACTCGATGTCGCTGTCCATCAGTGCGGAGCCGGCGGCGAGGAGGGCGGATTTAGTTGTTTCGGTGACTTGGAACCGCCGCTCCAACTTCCTGACGGCGGCCATCCCTTGGGCGACCTTCTCCACCAGCCCCATCCTCTGGTCGATGGCGGTGGCGTTTGACGTCAGGTGGAGGATCTGATCGTCGAATGCTTTCGCCTTGTGGAGCGCATCTTTCCCCATCACCAATCCCTTCGCTAGCATGCTGCTCACCACTTCCTCCGCCACTGTTATTGCCAAGTTATTCCTACTGCCCGCTCCTACTGATGGTTTCATCAGTTCGTCCTTTGTAAAAACCAACACAAACAACACATGTACAAGGAAAGGGAACACAAATATTAAAAAATAAAGGAACAAACTGTTTTCTCGGTCTGTTTCTCAATAACTTACTACCACTGTACGTAAACGTGTCAATGAAGCTATCAGTTGTAGGGTTTTAATCAACATGTTTGGAGTTTGACGACTATTAATTAGAAAATTTACTGAAATTTTTGTATTTGAAATTCAAAAGAACAAAGAAGGGGGAAAACGAGAAGAACATATCATATGATTTCATTAGTTATGAGGTCACTTCTGCCTTATTAATGAAGAGTGAGATATTAGTCTGTGACCTTCTTATTTGAACTCGAGCGAGAAAAGAAACATAATTAAAAATGCAAAATCAAATATGAACAAACATCTCTATTTGAGTTTAATGAATGACACTCACGAGATTTCTCCATGTTTTTCCTACTTGAGCTCAAGCAATATTACTAAAAATGCAAAACTAAATACAAACAGAAAAAAATAGAAATATTGATGAACAAAAGCACATATTGGGAGGCAGGAGTTAAAAAAAATTAAAATAGATAAAAATAAAAGAAAATAGAGTAAAAATAAAAAAGAAAATTGAAAGGGTCCACATTCAACTCAATGGCTAATGACCTTGAAGTTGGGATTAATTACTAAAATTCATCTTAATGAATAGTGTCATAGAAACCATTCTTTTTATATATAAATAAATAAATAAAATTTAACTTAAATAATTTAGAATCACTTGTTTGGTTAAAAAAATGGGTTGTGATACTTTCATTCTGAGCCAATTGAAATCACTCATTTTAAGTTCGGAAAAATGTCAAATCTCCCTCTAATTATTTCAAATAACTCATCTCAACCTCTTTTTTCCATGGTCCATGAAACCGTACCGTACCGGCGGTTCAACCACGAAATACCAGTATTGGAGGCTAAACCGGTAGGCGGTATTTAACGGTACAACGGTTAAACTACGGTTAAACCACGGTTTTACCATAAAATACCCTATCGCTGACTTTCCCGGTACGGTCTCCGGTACGGTTTCATGGACCATACTTTTTTCTACTAGTGTCATGTTCTTTATTCTCTCCAACTCTCGTTTTCTTGCTCTTACTTTAATAGGGACAGCATATAAAATTATCTTCATTTTTGTATGAATAGTGAATACTACAATAAAATAAAATAAGATAATTCTAATATCACAAGTCCCAAATAATTTATGAATTGCCACATTTGAAAAAATGCATAATTTATTTCCAAGTAGCTCATTGGCAAAATAACTCAGCCGAAACGAGAGTTAGAGTTATTGATAACTATTACCCAAGAAAATTGTAGGGGCTACATACAATGGTCAACTTCTTATAATTCATATAATTTAAAAAAAAAAACTTCTTATAATTCATATAAAGAAAAGTATTGTAAGTTTATATATGATAATCGGTTAGGGAAAGAATCGAAAACTAATAAGGATGTGACAGAAAATTACCAAGATACGGGAGGCTTCTGGGGGCAAAATGTAATCTTCAACAGGAGTGATAGTGACAGAGTTATAAGCTATGATGGATCCCTGATACAATTTCAGTAAATTACGATTACTTAAGTTAAGTGAAAACAAGGACAAATTTGAGGAAGCCATAAATAATAAAGAAGAAAAAACGGACAGAGGAAATTAGGAGCTGGGAAGAGAGTTACAGAGAGAAGTAAGGCGGTATCTGCTCCTTGTGACTCTTTGAAGGTTACATAAGCCACCTGAGTTGCTTCACTCTCTCTGCAATTACATTCTTAATGAAAGTTATACTCGGTTCATGGTGGCCGGGATAACAAAAACCGCATTCATAACTATATATACCTTCGTAATTCAACGTGTATGATAATTTCACCAGAAAAGGAGAAAAAATCTCTTATATTTCTTTCTGTGGCATTTGATGGAAGGTTGTTAATCTGAACAGTCTTTACCTACACATATATATACATATGATATCCCAGTTGTAGCCAATTTATTGATAGAATACAAAGATTGTTGAAAGAAAAAATGGGATTACTTCTATATCCACTCACATCTAAAACATTTATGGTCCAATTGGATGACCAAAAACTGGCAGCTGGGTCTTCTGCTCCGGCGGCGCCCTTCTGTTCATTTTTGTACATACATTCTTGTGCCGGTGGAACTTGTACCTATTTTGCATCATCCGAAAATTCTTAGTATGCATGATAAAAATGTATGATAGATATATAAAATTGCAACTCTACACGTGTGATCTTCCTAACACTATTTATGTCGCGATTCAATCATGTTACTGATTTAGACAAGTCATTAACAAAGCAAATGGAAGGAACATTGAAAGAAGAAAAGATTATGAGTGTTTCACAGAACTCACCGACATGATTTCACTATCTATAAATGGTTTGATTGTATGTAGTTAAGAGAGAATTATTAGAAATGGAAAGCAATTAATAGGCAACGAAGAGGAGAAATTGGAAGAAGGAACCAACGGGGTAAGGTAATATGGAGAAAGAATCAAAGGAAAGGAAGAAAATGGAGAAGCAAATCTCAGTGTCTCTTTTTTGTGCTGTGTTTGTGTCCTCATTGTCATTTGTACATTCAGGAAAGAAGGGAGAGAGGGGGATAAAAAACAGGAGTATGAGAAGTTTGTGCGTTAGTTGACACGGTATCAACTCGGCGACTGAGTTTAACTTTCCCGAAAAAAATGAGGTTTTATTATTTTTAGAATTAAAATAACATAATATTTTCTTTATTATAAAATTTTGTTCCTATTTCCACAAAAAAAAAAAAAAAGATATTGTGTTCCTGTTACGGAGGAAAACAACGAGATACCAAAAGTCACATGACTAAAACCTGCCAAGTAATAAAATCATATCCAACTAAAGAAGAAAATAATAAAAGTGTTTTTCGTGCCACCTAATGGACAACCCTATTACTATTACGTCCAACAAACCAATGACTTATCTGAACAAAATTATCACGCAGATTCAGGATTTCCTCGAGAACTATCCCTCTCCGGATGTCATCTAATTGCTTACTCGCTAAAACACAACACCAAACTACGACCAAGTATAATCGTAGATTGGGAATACAGAATAGTGGGTAAGTTTTGCTTATCAACTGGGTATCTAAATTTGAGTCAAACAATAAGGAATTGATCCCTACGGCAAACTAACCTCATTATAACTGCAAGTTGGCAGCATTTCAATAATTCTCAATACCCACACAACTTGTCTACCTACTGAAGCATTGGTTCTTCTCTTAGTTTCCCTTTGCTAGTGGTTTTGCCAGCTTCTGACATCCCCGGGTCTTGGTGAATATATTTAGTATTGTTTCTACTTCCATTAAGCTTGCAAGTTCACTTTGCATGAAAAGAAACCATAAAATACTTGGTTAAAGAAAAAGACTCATGTTGATGATAAATTTATACAAATGGCCAAACCACCAAACTGATTAGCAAGAGAAACCACATTAGAGGAAAGAAAGATAGAAACCCCCAACACTCACATAATCCAAAATATGCAGCAAAGATTCTCAGTAGTTTTTCAGTTATAATGTACAGAGTTCTATTCAAATTTCGACTACCATTGAGATCAATTTGGCAGTGATGAATCGAACTTGAGATATAAACCCTGAGATCGATAAATAAATACCAGCTGATCATAAGTTTTTGGGCTTCCAAAAGCTCTATATTACCAACCTGAGAAACAAAACCATACACAAAAATTGGAAGGCAAGAAGCAGCCTGTTGCCATTGGAGAGAAGAAGACTATCCGGCTGGCACTCGAGGAGAGAGGTAATTATGTTTTGAGGCAAAACCCAGAAACACAGTCAAAATCCAAATTAAAAAAGAAACCTAAATAAGGGAACTTACAGGTACAGGGGATATAGCTCCGATTATGCACTATGAGAGGTTAATTGGCCAATCTCGGTGGAACTATAGTGAGAATGAACTTCTCGACTCTGCGTGGCGAGGCAAAAAGAGAGAGTTGGCTTACATTTTCAGGTTAGCGGTGGGTAGCAATGGGGTGCCGTCCACAACATGGGAGGTTAGTTGCTCACTCTATTGGTTGCAACGGTGGTTCTGTCGACCACTCTAGGAGGACATTTAGGAGTCGTACCAAAGGGGAGAAGTTGCGGTGGGTAGGGATGGCAATTTCGATCTGACCTGTTTTACCCGACCTGTTTGACCTGTTTTGGGGCGGGGCGGGCATGGGTACTCTCATCGACCCGACCTACCCTGACCCGCCCCATTCTCAACCCGTTCTTGCCTAAATTACACGTAAATTTAGTCAAATTACTTAGGATTTTCCTTTTATTTCATCAAATTTTATCTATAATAAAGTTGTAAATTAGTGAAAATCTCAATTTCTCCAATAATTTAACTATATTTATCATAATATTGTTTGTTTCCGTGGTCTTATAATAAAAATAACGAACATTTCTAATATTTTTCATATAAATTGCTTACCCATTGTGTAACATCCCGAACCTCGAATAAATTTTTTTCCAGATGGCAGACGTATAATATACGTTTCGAGGCTGGAAAAAAAATCTAGAAGTTATCCTATACGAGATAGGATCAACGAAATCACTTTGAAACTCTCCAAGCCTAAAAATTGCAATAAAAATAAATAAGGGGCTGATAGGAATCGAACCTGGACCCTTCCCAAGGTTCAAGGGCAGAAAATTGCCCAAACCAGTAGACCACACGAAATTTATGTCTACAAAATACTACATCCTATTTCATAAACTGAATCTGCGTCGCTGCTGCAGCTGTAGATAAACTCGTACCAAGCGGTGCAGCCTTTGAAACTCGTCCCTTCAACTCCATAACTGACCTGAGGATTTAGAAGGCGGCCTTTAGCTTTATGAGGGTCTGCCTGGGCCTTAATTAGGAGTGATGAAGATCTGAAACAAGAATTAATAAGAGGGGGAGACTCTTTCCTTCTTCTTCCTCACTTCATATCATCATTTTCATACGCCAAGAAAAGAATGGAAGGAAAGGATAGTTAACAAACGCCTATCATAACCTCTGTATGCCCAGCAAAGATTTAGAACCCACAAAAATCCCATTACGGAGCCAAAATCGTCCAACCAACTCAACGGAAATTCTTCGCCGAAACTTTTGCCGTAACCTTTTCGTCAGCCAAACCAGCACCATTAAAGGTAGTATCAGCTACGAAGCTTGATACTGTTGCGAAGAGAAAGTCTCCACGAGCATCACAGATTTTACGAAATTGAATTCCGAGCTCAGACGAGGGAGAAACAAGGCCCGGAAGTTGGTACGTGAGGTAAAGGAATTTCCAGTTTTCTGCAGATTTTGGACAGCAGAAAATTCAAAATTAATCCCTAATTTCGTACTAACGATGATCAGCTCGCAGTTTCTTCGTTTGACGTCCAAACGACGAACCGTTTTCGCCTACAGGACCGTAGAAACAAGGAGAATATTTAGGAGCCAACCTCTGGAATTTTAGAACTTAATTCCCGACTTGGAATCGGCTAAAATTAAGGTGTGTGGGGATTAAGAGGACCTTAATTATTGCATCGATTATTTATGCTTTATTTGCATATTTGGATGGATGGATTAGTGTGGTTGATGACTTGGTTGCTGATATGATTATTTGGTGATTGTTCTTTATTGTTATGGATTTTACGGTGTACATATCGGTATTTTACAAGTTTCACCGTAAAAATGGATAGTTGGGTTTATTGAGTTTAAAACGGATCTAAGATATTTTTGTATGTCTAAAATGATGTTGGGGCAGATTGAGCAGAAGATTTCATTTGAAAATGGCTTCCGGATTAAAAACTGCATAACGGTGAATTTTACGGAAGGCTCGGTAAAAACTTTTTTTATTTATCTTTAAGATTTTGATCACTTTAAAATGGTCAGTATGGATTGTTAAATGGGTTTTGGTCTGGAAATGGTAAATTAGACAGTTGGTGTAGTTTTTATCTTTGAAATGGTAAAAACGAGCTTAATACGAGATTTGCGGTAAAGACCGAGTGTAATATAATTTTCATGGTTTTGATTTGTTGAAAAATATAAAAACTGGACAGACTTGTTTTAGGATGAAAAATGAAGGTTCTTGTATTTTTTGGAGATTTTCGGATTTACCGTTTTGTTGGAATTTAAGTTACCGTAAAATATTGGTTAATACGAGATTTTTAATATTTTATTGTCTATATTGATTTTTATGACCAGAACTAGATTAAATGGATTTTTGTGTTAATAAATTCATTTACATGAATTGTGTGAGGATTTTAATGAAGGAAAGTGAATTTTGAGATAAGGATATTTTTAACCGCAACCGGGTTATTTATAATTATTTGCGTTGGCGCTATTTCGTGAAATTGTTGATGAATTTTGGATGAGGAATGGTGACATGGTACTGCTGAGTAGCTTTAATGAGAATGAAATGATTTATGTGAAACGTCGAGTTGATAATCGACAGGGAATATATATATGGACTGGTTAATCCGTGAGACTACATTGATTCCGGATTGATTGTGATGGATGGGGGAAATGGAAATGATTTGATTCGTGATCATATTAATTCACATAGATGTAGAAAGGGCCTGCACTTACCCTCACCCCTTGAGAGTGGGTAGATTTAGCTAGCTTATGCGATTGAGTGTTGTGGTTGCATGAGCACCACGGATGAGTGTTGTGGTTAAAAACACGGATTGAGTGTTGTGGTTGCATGAGCACCACGGATGATGATTTGCTCGAGCGAGGGTAAGTGTATGGTGACCTTGGCGCCATTAATAATTAATCGGAATTTTCATATCATGCATTGATTATGTGTGTTCGTGAAATTATGTGATTATCTTATTTGATAAATTGATTTGGTGATGATGAGTTGGTGGATTCGATAATTTGATCGGAAATTTTTACATATGATGATTTAAGATGGCATCTAGAGTACTAAATTGTGATTGATTACGATTGTTTGATTAGCTGCTTGCGGTCCCAAAATTAGGTCGTGGGAAAGATCCACGCACACAGCTTAGTTGCTGACCCACGTCTGTTTCCAGGCTCGCAGGTGCAACTAGGATCGGACTACTGAGGCTGCCCTATCCTTCTGTACTACCATCATGAGGTAGTTTGGAACAATGTTCTGTCATGGTCACCTAAGATTTCTGCTCTGAGTGTTTTCAATAATAACTCACATTTTGTAAAATTCAATAAGTGGGTTGGGATCGAATAATGAGTTTGTATGATAACGCTTTATGGTTGTGTTTAATAATCGGATATGATGTTTGAGATGATTGAGTTCAACTAGTAACACCAAGGATTTGGCTGCGCGGTTGAACCACGGGTTCAACCATAGAGTTTCTGGGCGGGGTGTTACAAGTGGTATCAGAGCTCGGTTAGTTCGCTGCACTATAAGTATGTTACCTGAACTCGTGAGGATTAGCTACCCTCAGTCGGGTGAAGGTACTCCATACTCGTATTTGCATCGAGACTTTCTAGGTAATGGGATCAATTGTGACAAAAATATTTTGAAAATGATTTTTTTTAAATTTTGAGGAAAGGAGAAACGATCTTTGGAAGGAGTTTTTGTGGAAGAAACTAAAGTTTGGTTTCTTTTTCTTTCTTTGTAGTGACCGGAACAGTGTGGGCCCTCGTAATGTTCAGTTAGCACCGTTACCACCCCCCATCAGGGTGGAGTTTCCTCAACTTAAGAAATATGGGCTGAAGGAGTTTCGAGGGGATAGTGACGATCCCCAAGAAACGGCAATGTGGTTGAAAGAGTCGCGCATTCAGTTCGATTACACGGGATATGATGAGGAGCAGAGGCTCCAAGCAATGGTTATGCTTCTTAAAGGCCATGCCTTGACCTGGTGGGGCTCTCAGGAGGAGGGGCAGGTCTATCCTCCGCTACTAACGTACCATGATTTTATGGCTATGTTCCGTGCGACTTTCTTTCCACCGGAGTGGATATATAATAAACAACGGGAGTTCGATGATCTTAAGCAGGGGGAGATGTCTGTATTGTCTTACTACATCAAATTCTTCGAGTTATCGGAGTGGTGTGAGATTGAGACAGACCGAGATGAGAAGTTGGCCATGAGGTTCCTTCGCGGTCTCCGATACACCATCCAGGAGGGAGTCTCCTCAGCTGACATGGTAAGCCTGAATACCATTAAACAGGCTGCCCTGAGGAAAGAGAACCTGGAGAAGGCCAAGAGGGAATCCTGGAAGGAGAGGCCAGGTGATAGGAAGAGGAAGGCTTTTGTCCAACCGAGTCACTCGGCCGGTTTCACCCAGCAGAACCGAAGGGGAGGGCAATACGATCCCAGGCCGAGGGTGACATATTCAGCTCCACCGACCAGGACGGGACCCGCTGGGTATCCACCATGCCCGACCTGCGGGAAGATTCACTTTGGGCGATGTAATAACTTGCCTCAAGGTAGAATCATCTGCTTTGAGTCTGGCCAGGTTGGTCATACCCGACCACAGTGCCCACAACTCGCCCGGGCACCAGCACAGTCAGTGGGATCTGTTCAGGGCCCGAGAACCCCATCGGCGGGAGTTTCCAGGGGAGCATCAAGGCAGGGAGGACGTCCTAGATCTCGAGGACCTAGAGCTAACTCCTATCCAGGGGGTGGACCGAGTCAGCAACCCATGGGACGAGGAGCAGGAAGCCAAAATCAGGCGGGACTACGCGCTTTGACTAGAGATGCAGCGGAGGCCGCTACTGATGTTGTCACTGGTATGATAACTTGCTTTGGACATGCTCTATATGCCTTGTTTGACACTGGCTCTTCGCATTCCTTTATGTCCGAGAAATGTGCTAGTAACATGCATATCATATCAACGAGCTGACCAACCGATGGGGTGTGAAAACACCATTGGGTACTTCGGTGGTAGTTAATCGCGTGATACGCGATTGTGATGTTGTGATGGGAGGAGTAGCATTGAAGGCAGAGCTGATGATTTTTCCTTTCAATGAGTTCGATGTGATTCTTGGCATGGATTGGTTATCCAGTCACGGAGCAGTGATGGATTGCCAAAAGAAGGAAATACGCTTGTCTGGGGATGAAGGTAAACATATGATATTCCAAGGGTTGAAAAGAAAGAAGTCAACTCCGATGGGTATCATCTCGGCGATGGAGATGTATGCGTTGCTAAGGGAAGGGTGTCAAGCCTTTCTTGTGCAAGTTGAGGTGACTAAAGAAGAGAAGTTGGAGGAAGTACGAGTTGTAAACGAATACCAGGATGTGTTTCCAGAAGACCTTCCTGGGGGGCCAATCGAACGGGAGGTGGATTTTAACATCGAGTTAGTACCTGGAACTGCTCCCATATCTATCCCACCGTATCGGATGGCACCAATCGAATTGAAGGAGCTAAAGGAACAGTTGCACGAACTCTTGGACAAAGGGTTCATCCGACCTAGTATATCACCTTGGGGAGCACCTGTTCTATTTGTGAAAAAGAAGGATGGGTCAATGCGAATGTGTATCGACTATCGGAGGCTAAACAAGGCGACGGTTAAGAACCGTTATCCACTTCCTCGAATTGATGACTTGTTTGACCAACTACAAGGAGCAACGGTCTTTTCAAAAATTGATTTGAGGTCGGGATATCACCAGTTGAAGGTGGGAGAGAAAACCGTACCGTTGACTGCTTTTCGAACACAGTATGGACATTATGAATTTTTGGTGATGCCTTTTGGACTTACTAATGCACCGGCAGTGTTCATGGCTCTTATGAACAAAGTTTTCCATGAATATCTTGACAAATTTGTCATAGTATTCATTGATGACATTCTAGTGTATTCGAAGAGTGAGGAAGAGCATGCTGAACACTTGAGATTGGTATTGCAAACTTTGAGAGAAAAAGAGTTGTATGCCAAATTCTCGAAGTGTGCGTTCTGGCTGGAAGAGGTACTATTTCTGGGGCACGTGGTGTCTCGGAGGGGAGTAGAGGTGGATCCTAAGAAGATTGAAGCTATTGTGAATTGGACTCCACCTAAAGATGTGTCGGGAGTACGAAGTTTTCTGGGGTTAGCTGGGTACTACCGTCGATTTGTGGAAGGGTTTTCTAAAATAGCCTCACCTTTGACTAAATTATTGAGGAAGGAAACCCCATACATATGGACGGAAGAGTGTCAGGAGAGTTTTGAAGAACTGAAGCGGAAGTTGACTTCAGCCCCAGTTCTGGCATTACCGATGGAGGGGGGAGAATATGTGGTATACAGTGACGCATCATATCTTGGTTTGGGTTGTGTCTTGATGCAGAACGGAAAGGTGATTGCATATGCTTCCCGACAATTGAGGCCACATGAGTGCAACTACCCAACTCATGATCTAGAGTTGGCAGCTATCGTGTTTGCCTTAAAATTATGGAGGCATTACCTTTATGGTGAAACGTTCAAAATTATGACCGACCACAAGAGTTTGAAGTATTTAATGGATCAGAAGGAGTTGAATAACCGACAAAGAAGATGGTTGGAGTTGTTGAAGGACTATGACTGCACAATTGATTACCATCCTGGTAAGGCAAATGTGGTCGCCGATGCACTCAGTCGAAAGGAAAGGTTGTCAGAATTAGTGGAAATGAGAGCTTTGGGGGTGGAGTTTCAGGTTGAGGACATCACCACCCTAATTGCACACCTAAGCATCCGACCACTACTCCATGATCAAATTAGAGAAAGTCAACAAGTAGATCCTGAGTGTATTGAGAAGTTGAAGCAAGTTGAAGTGGGGGAAGAAAGTGAATTCATGGTGGAAGAAGGCATACTAAAAAGGCATGGTCGTATGTGGGTTCCAGAGTCGGGTGATTTAAGACGAAGAATTCTGGAGGAAGCCCATTCATCCATGTATGCCATGCACCCGGGGGTCACAAAGATGTATAACACGATTAAAACACATTTTTGGTGGCCGGGAATGAAGCGAGAGGTGGCAAAGCATGTTCAAGCTTGTCTAGTTTGTCAAAAGACTAAGGCGGAGCATCGTGCACCAGCCGGACTCTTGCAACCGCTGCCAATTCCAGAGTGGAAATTTGAGAGGATCACGATGGATTTTGTGACCGGATTTCCTTCTACCCGGGAAGGAAAAGATGCCATTTGGGTAATTGTGGATCGAATTACTAAAGTGGCACATTTTATCCCCATTCGATTCAAGCCAAGTATGGAAGAGTTAGCGAGGTTGTACATAACTCACATTGTACGACTTCATGGTGTTCCTCTATCCATTGTCTCAGATCGAGACCCCAGTTTCACATCACACTTCTGGGAGAGCTTGCAGGAGGCGATGGGTACGAGACTTAATTTCTCCACGGCTTATCACCCTCAGACGGATGGGCAGTCTAAGCGGACAATACTTACAAGTGGAATTATTACGAACCTGTGCAGTGGAAACAGGTGGACCTTGGACGGATTTACTACCCTTGGTGGAGTTTGCCTATAACAACTCTTACCATAGTAGTTTGCAGGCTGCACCATTTGAAGCCTTGTATGGAAGGAAGTGTCGTACCCCGCTATGTTGGGATGTTGAGGGTACTCGGGTTCTTACCGGACCACAAATGGTCCAAGATACAGAGGAGAAGGTGAAGGTGATCAAAGAGAGATTGCGGGTCGCTCAAGATCGCCAAAAGTTATACGCCGATAAGAAGGCTCGAGAAGTTAGCTATGATGTGGGAGAGAAGGTGTTCTTAAACGTATCCCCATGGAAAGGATTGATGAGGTTTGGAAGGAAGGGTAAGTTAGCGCCTCGTTACATTGGTCCCTACGATGTTATCTCCAAAGTAGGGCCTGTGGCATATGAGCTTGCATTACCCCGTGAGTTGGAGAAAATTCACAACGTATTTCACGTGAGTATGTTGAAAAAGTATCATATCGATCCATCTCATGTGCTACAACCCGAAAGGGTGGAGTTGGAGCCAGATTTGACCTATGAAGAAAAACCTGTGAGCATTGTGGATCATCAGGTACGTGTATTAAGAAGCAAACAAATCCCCATGCTCAAGGTTATATGGCGTAATCAGGAGGAGGAGGCTGCAACCTGGGAAACTGAGGAGAGTATGAAGAAGAAGTACCCCGAGCTAGTTGAAGCTTATACTCAACGTATGTCGACCCAGTACCTCGTGTGTTAGCTCGATATGAGTATGGTACATTGTAATATATAACCTCTACTGTAGAGTGAGTGAATAAGTATGAAATAAAAATTTCCCAAGCCATTAGGTACTTAATGGCAAAGGGAAATTATTATGTCGTCATGCTGAGTTAAGCGATGTTTTGGACGAGCCGATTTCGGGGACGAAATCTAATTAAGAGGGGGAGAGCTGTAACATCCCGAACCTCGAATAAATTTTTTTCCAGATGGCGGGCGTATAATATACGTTTCGAGGCTGGAAAAAAAATCTAGAAGTTATCCTATACGAGATAGGATCAACGAAATCACTTCGAAACTCTCCAAGCCTAAAAATTGCAATAAAAATAAATAAGGGGCTGATAGGAATCGAACCTGGACCCTTCCCAAGGTTCAAGGGCAGACAATTGCCCAAACCAGTAGACCACACGGAATTTATGTCTACAAAATACTACATCCTATTTCATAAACTGAATCTGCGTCGCTGCTGCAGCTGTAGATAAACTCGTACCAAGCGGTGCAGCCTTTGAAACTCGTCCCTTCAACTCCATAACTGACCTGAGGATTTAGAAGGCGGCCTTTAGCTTTATGAGGGTCTGCCTGGGCCTTAATTAGGAGTGATGAAGATCTGAAACAAGAATTAATAAGAGGGGAGACTCTTTTCTTCTTCTTCCTCACTTCATATCATCATTTTCATACGCCAAGAAAAGAATGGAAGGAAAGGATAGTTAACAAACGCCTATCATAACCTCTGTATGCCCACCAAAGATTTAGAACCCACACAAATCCCATTACGAAGCCAAAATCGTCCAACCAACTCAACGGAAATTCTTTGCCGAAACTTTTGCCGTAACCTTTTCGTCAGCCAAACCAGAACCATTAAAGGTAGTATCAGCTACGAAGCTTGATACCGTTGCGAAGAAAAAGTCTCCATGAGCATCACTGATTTTACGGAATTGAATTCCGAGCTCAGACGAGGGAGAAACAAGGCCCGGAAGTTGGTACGTGAGGTAAAGGAATTTCCAGTTTTCTGCAGATTTTGGACAGCAGAAAATTCAAAATTAATCCCTAATTTCGTACTAATGATGATCAGCTCGCAGTTTCTTTGTTTGACGTCCAAACGACGAACCGTTTTCGCCTACAGGACCGTAGAAACAAGGAGAATATTTAGGAGCCAACCTCTGGAATTTTAGAACTTAATTCCCGACTTGGAATCGGCTAAAATTAAGGTGTGTGGGGATTAAGAGGACCTTAATTATTGCATCGATTATTTATGCTTTATTTGCATATTTGGATGGATGGATTAGTGTGGTTGATGACTTGGTTGCTGATATGATTATTTGGTGATTGTTCTTTATTGTTATGGATTTTACGGTGTACATATCGGTATTTTACAAGTTTCACCGAAAAAATGGATAGTTGGGTTTTTGAGTTTAAAACGGATCTAAGATATTTTTGTATGTCTAAAATGATGTTGGGGCAGATTGAGCAGAAGATTTCATTTGAAAATGGCTTCCGGATTAAAAACTGCATAACGGTGAATTTTACGGAAGGCTCGGTAAAAACTTTTTTTATTTATCTTTAAGATTTTGATCACTTTAAAATGGTCAGTATGGATTGTTAAATGGGTTTTGGTCTGGAAATGGTAAATTAGACAGTTGGTGTAGTTTTTATCTTTGAAATGGTAAAAACGAGCTTAATACGAGATTTGCGGTAAAGACCGAGTGTAATATAATTTTCATGGTTTTGATTTGTTGAAAAATATAAAAACTGGACAGACCTGTTTTAGGATTATAAATGAAGGTTCTTGTATTTTTTGGAGATTTTCGGATTTACCGTTTTGTGGGAATTTAAGTTACCGTAAAATATTGGTTAATACGAGATTTTTGATATTTTATTGTCTAAATTGATTTTTATGACCAGAACTAGATTAAATGGATTTTTGTGTTAATAAATTCATTTACATGAATTGTGTGAGGATTTTAATGAAGGAAAGTGAATTTTGAGATAAGGATATTTTTAACCGCAACCGGGTTATTTATAATTATTTGCGTTGGCGCTATTTCGTGAAATTGTTGATGAATTTTGGATGAGGAATGGTGACATGGTACTGCTGAGTAGCTTTAATGGAGAATGAAATGATTTATGTGAAACGTCGAGTTGATAATCGACGGGGAATATATATATGGACTGGTTAATCCGTGAGACTACATTGATTCCGGATTGATTGTGATGGATGGGGGAAATGGAAATGATTTGATTCGTGATCATATTAATTCACATAGATGTAGAAAGGGCCTGCACTTACCCTCACCCCTTGAGAGTGGGTAGATTTAGCTCGCTTATGCGATTGAGTGTTGTGGTTGCATGAGCACCACGGATGAGTGTTGTGGTTAAAAACCACGGATTGAGTGCTGTGGTTGCATGAGCGATTGAGTGTTGTGGTTGCATGAGCACCACGGATGATGATTTGCTCGAGCGAGGGTAAGTGTATGGTGACCTTGGCGCCATTAATAATTAATCGGAATTTTCATATCATGCATTGATTATGTGTGTTCGTGAAATTATGTGATTATCTTATTTGATAAATTGATTTGGTGATGATGAGTTGGTGGATTCGATAATTTGATCGGTAATTTTTACATATGATGATTTAAGATGGCATCTAGAGTACTAAATTGTGATTGATTACGATTGTTTGATTAGCTGATTGCAGTCCCAAAATTAGGTCGTGGGAAAGATCCACGCACACAGATTAGTTGCTGACCCACGTCTGTTTTCAGGCTCGCAGGTGCAACTAGGATCGGACTACTGAGGCTGCCCTATCCTTCTGTACTACCATCATGAGGTAGTTTGGAACACTGTTCTGTCATGGTCACCTAGGATTTCTGCTCTGAGTGTTTTCAATAATAACCCACTTTTTGTAAAATTCAATAAGTGGGTTGGGGATCGAATAATGAGTTTGTATGATAACGCTTTATGGTTGTGTTTAATAATCGGATATGATGTTTGAGATGATTGAGTTCAACCAGTAACACCAAGGATTTGGCTGCGCGGTTGAACCACGGGTTCAACCATAGAGTTTCTGGGTGGGGTGTTACACATTGGGTCGACCTGCCCCGACCCGTGATCCGTGATAAATTACCCGACCTGACCCGACCTGCCATGGGGCGGGTCTGGGTATCAAGAAACCCGCCCCGGACTTGCCCCATTGCCATTCCTAGCGGTGGGGAAGGGGCGCCGTATGCTAGAGGGATTTCGGAATGGGGTTTCTGTGTTACGGAAAGGAGTCGGACCGAAGGGGAGAAGCTGCTGAGACCTCGTACGGGAAATTCGGAATAGAAACAGAGAGGAGGAGAAGGAATACGAAAGGTCGATGGAATGACGAAGAAACCCTTCCGCAGTGTGCGGGCTGTTGAGCACGGGCTGACGTGGCAATTCATTTACCCTGACATTCCCTTATATTTATTTGCAGATGGATAGAATATAGCAGGAAATGAAACTTGTCAGTTATGAAAACGAGGTGTCCCTGAAATATGATCAACTCGCAAATCAACTAAATTCCAAAGCATAACAAGTCAAAAGCATCGTGTAAACTGTTAGAGCTTCAAAGAGAAGATTCTAAAGATCGTCCAAGAAAAGCCAATACTGGAAACACTTGAAAGTTATCAACAACCAACCAACAGAAGGTTTCCAATTCCAAAGACCACAAAGCAAAAAAAAAAAAAAAAAACTTAACAGTGAAGCAGAATCCTGCCAAGTAAAAATGCTGAATAGGTCATGCTCCAAGGAAGACTCTTGCCAACACTTTTTTGGACTGTAGAGAAGCCTTCATTCAGCCCCTGATAATTGATTTTCCTCCTACATTAATTCTACTATACAATACATATGAGAGGAAGGGGGAAACCAAAGACGATAGGACATACCTGGTCAATTCCTAGCTCAACAACCTTCTCCTAAAGGGAACCCAATTCCGTAATGTTGAACTTATTCAACAAAGCGATGCTGGAGATGGTGGACATGGGCATAACCTCCAAATTGTCCATCACCATGTAAGTCACCACTCCTTTCACCAACCCACCCCTTTGTGCACTAGTACTAGCAGCTGCTTGGCTGCCAACAAGGGAACCTCGTGGCTCATACTCATGTTGCAGGTAGGACAAGTTGTTAGCAGATATCTTGGCAAGCATAGACCTTCCTAGGCGATGGTATTGCCGTTTCATAGTGGCTCTTGTCATCGGATAACAATAGAGTGCTGGGGACCGGGCATGATGGGGTTTTGGTCTTCAGAACTGTGTCCTTGTTTACGTTATCCTGGATGTATGTGTCGCTGAGTTCTTCAATGCTCTAGTAAAAATTGACAAGGCAACCAACCATTTTGTTGGTGGACAAGATCCTAATCACTTATGCTAGTGGAAACGAGAGGAGGGCCGAGAGGAAATCCACAAAGTCCTTCTCCACTTCTGCAAACAATACCCTGCGGACTTGGGTGTCGACTAGAATTTTTAGAGTTAGTCTGGAAGGCGAGGAGTTCGTCGCTGCTGCTGCCATTGTTGCTGTTGTTAGCAACAAGTGTTGGGAATGGATAGCTTTGAAAGCTATATTGAATTAATTATCCAGTATTCTTTCTAGATATGGAAATAGAAGGATAATTAATAAAAAGAATATTATGGAGATAATTAGAATTAATTATCTTAATATAATATATTTTATTTATGGGAGTAATTATCTTCCTAATTAAAATGTGACTTATTCTCAAAGAAAGAGGGAATATTCTGGGTTTTCTGCTCCTATAAATAGCAGACTCCTAGACCCTCTAAACACAATCCTCTAAGAATGACGTTTTATTTCTCTGCTATAATTGCAAGAAATTAGGTCATATGACACGGAAGTGTAAGAAAGTATAACACTGGTTCTAGTGTTAACTTGATTAAAGAGGAGGATTGGTGGTTGTGATGATTGTGAAAAGAGCAGAGATAACCTTGCTGGTAACTCTGAACAATGGTGGATGGACACTGGTGCCTCGAAGGATATTGAGGCATCTGCTTTTAAGAAAGTGTTGTTGAATACTGCTCACTCTACTATTTATAATGGTCACGAGAGTATGCATATGGTTGTTGAATTCTTTTGTGTCTCACATGCACGTCTTTGACGTATATCGTGAAGAATTGAAAGATAGAGACACATTCTCATAATTTTTTGTGATAAATATATGATTTCATAGACAAACTAAAAGACCCATAAGTATATGACTAGAGAATCAGAATTCTTGTATCTGATTCATTTTGAAATGGGTGAATGTAATGAGATGACAATTTGGAATAATGTGAAATGTTTTATCACATTATTATTGATTGCACTAATTAAAGATGTGATGCTTTTGACATATGCTTTTGATATAAAGCGTTATCTATGAAATGTTTTTTTATATGGTATAGTTCGAGAATTAGTGCAATATAAGATGAGCATGAGAGTGTTTTATTGATTGTGTTATCAATAATAGAACACATAAGCTTATGAAATGAAATACTCATTGTAGTGTAGAATCAATTAATGCCATTCCATTTAAATCGAGAAATAGTGGGGTTTATATCTTGTCTGCTATTAGAAATAATGGATAACTAGTGGGGGTGATGAATCTGGGTATGAACTCAGAAGAGACAAATGAACCATAAATCGCGAAAAGATTTTGGTTATGAATTTGTTATTTACACCCTAAGTAGAGATCCTACAAGTCTGCTAGAAGTTCGAACTTCCATAAAGATGCAGATTTGTGGGACAATCCATTATTAACGAAATGGAATTTGTGGAGTCTAGTAAGACTTAAAATCTTGTAGAGTTATCTCTTGGTTGTCAAGCCTTGGGTAATATATCGGTGGAACCAATCAAGATTTGGCATCTTTGAGAATGACCTCCTGCAATGAAGCCAAGGTAATATGGATTCCTAAAAGAAAAACTGAAATCTGATGGTTTAGCTTATGAGTATAAATGATCGCCTAGTAGCTAAGGCTTTAGGTGAAGAGGAAAAATTGTAGATTTATTTGATATCTATTCACAAATATGTAGAATAACTACCATTATATGGATATTAAAACTTCTTTTGTGAATGGTGACTTAGATAAAAAAAAATCTACATAAGATAACCTAAGAAGTTGTTATTCTTGAAAATGCTTCTGGAGCCTAATCATGATAGGATTTGAAACAAACTCAGAACAGTATCATGAATAATCAGATTCTCTCTCATGGTTTTTGGAAGTGACAAGTTCATTTAGTACAATTTGAGAATGATACTTGCTTTATGAATGACATGTCGATCTTCGGTACAAAGACTCATGATGTCAATATTGCGATAAACCATGTTGTTTGAGAATTTTGAATGAGAATAATATGGATGAAACAAAGTTTTATGTTTGGAGATCCTGATGACTAGGAAAATACAAGCTGTACACCTGCATACATGTTTGATGATGCTAGTGTAAATTTTTAAAGAACACCTAAGACGGTGTAAGAAAGTTAGAATATACTAACATCGACAGTCTGCGTGAGACAGCTAATAAACATGAAACCCGATTTAGTGGGGGTACTTGACAGGCTTACTGATTGTCCTAGTATGAAGCATTGAAATGCTATTGAAAGGGGTCTCTCAGACACCTTAAGAGAACAATAGACATTGATATAAGTTATCAACGATTTCGTACTATATTGGTAGGGTATATTGATGCAGACAAGAATACCCTATAGAGGACTCCGAGGCATCCAGTGGGTATGTTTTGAACATCGCTGGAAGAGTTGTGTCTTGGAAGTCTAAGAAGTAAAACGATCCTGACTCACTCAACTAAGGAATCATAAATGATGAAAATAGAAATGGCTAGTAAAGAAGAAAGTTTATCGAGAGGATCATTACTAGAGATTCCCTTATGGGAAAGACCGATACCTCCGGTAGTAGAATCATTATGAAAGCACTGCAGCTATTACAAAAGAAGGGAACCGGTTCTAGAACAAAAAGAGATGACAAATTCCTCGTAAGCACAATAATGTAAGAGAACTCCTAACGATAGGAGTAGTGAGGGTGGATCATATAAGATCCGAACAGAATCTAGCTGATCCTTTGACGAAAGGATTACCCAGAGAGAAAGTCTAGAATACCGCCAAGGGTATGGGACTTATGCCTACCGAACCACGGACTACAAGTGATGGTAACCCGACCCAATAGACTGGAGATCCCAAGAAATGGGTTCAATGGGTAATAACAAGTCATGAGTAGTATGCGAAAAGTTCATGCATAGTGAAGCATGAATCCCAAAGCAATGGAGGTTGAGTTAACAACTCTTAATGACATCTATACCCTATGTGGGTTGGAATATTTTACTTTGGGAGTACTTCTGATAGACTCACCTATGTGAATGTGGGAGTGGGGCCGCTCCCTATGGAGTTTTGGAGGCACAAAGTTGCTAGAGCGTTCACTAAACCGGGATAACGTGCATGGCCATAAACGCACGGCCTATGAGAAAATATCACTCAATGAAAATATCTGGTGTGCTACATTGTCTGAGACAGGGTTCAAGACTACGAGTCACCCTTTTGAAATCGGAAGTGTAACCACTACGCTAAGGTTCAAATCTTCACGATACCTTAGCTTATGCCTGATCTTATGGATCTGTTGATGCTCAGAGATAGTTTCAAAACTATTCAAGTGGGGAATTGTTGGGAATGAATAGCTTTGAAAGCTATATTGAATTAATTATCCAGTATTCTTTCTAGATACGAAAATAGAAGGATAATTAATAAAAAGAATATTATGGAGATAATTAGAATTAATTATCTTAATATAATATATTTTAATTATGGGAGTAATTATCTTCCTAATTAAAATGTGACTTATTCCCAAAGAAAGAGGGAATATTCTGGGTTTTCCGCTCCTATAAATAGGAGACTCCTAGACCCTCTAAACACACCCTCATAAGAGCAGAAACACGAGAGAGAGTGAATTCATAACGCTCCAATTTTCGCACAAGACCGATGAGCAACAAAATCAGAGTGGTTGTTTTATCCTGGAGGCGACCGGCTGATAGTCTGATGTGCACAATACGAGGCAGTGTCGCGAACGTTTTAAAGAGAGTGACTTAGTCCGCGACTCAGCCAGATCGATAACCCTAATTTTTCCTGTTCGGTTTTAACGGCAAGAACCTCAAACAGTAGACCTGGCTCATTGATAATGTATCAATAGTTTACAAATACAGAAGAAGAAAATGCATGCACTACTCCATCTGTAACAACCGGATCTCAATGCGCTAGGAACTTGTACACGATTATACGCTAGATAGTTACTCCTAGAAATTGACTTTTGCTGGTAAAACTCTAAACCTTATTATGAGAGAATTAAGACCCAACCAAATGGTTGAATTGTTTCTGGTTGGAATTTTAACCACTCAGTTTCTCTGATGCAAATAGAAACTTTTGTTGGTGAAACCCCTAATCTTCATTATCAAGGGAAGGGAAACTTATTCGGTCATCAACTCTCAATTGTGAGGAGAATGATTGAGCGGATTCCATTCCAGGTATTCCAACTCTATAATATTGCCTTAAATCACAAAGAAAATTCTTTCACATACAACCATCAACCGTGCATAGCAATTGTTTAAAGGACTAGCCGTTTTTTTTGTTTCCATCGCATAAAAAAAATAAAAGGGAAAGGACGAACTAGCTAACCTTGATGCAGGGAGGGAGCTTAAAAGATGGTAGATCACAACGGTAGCAAGGTAGCGGTCTCCGTTGCTGGGGAAATAGCTACCGTCGTCTTTTCTTTTTCACCCTTGCCGGTTATTGTGAAGTGAGACTACCTTGATCATCAGCTGCTGCAGATCTTCAAAGATGTTGCAGAAGGAAGAACAGACAAGCTGAGTAGAGCTTCCCTTCACTCTACTTAGTACACAGACTATGACCTCAAAGCAGCGTCGTTTTCCTTGAGTGGTAAACACTCCACAAAGCAGAACGACGCAGTATTGATAGGCTGTAATTAGTTAGAGCATTTAAACATTGCTTAGCCACTTGGCACTCTTTCATTAGTTAGTTTAATTAAACGTTTCTCTTTACCGTTAATGTACAGTGTTCACTGATATATATATATATATGAAATACAACATAGGAAGAAGGCATTCCGCCGATTTCCCACAAGGCTACTTTTATCTTCTTTCACAAACCCTAGTGTTTTTGGTAGCTAGGTTAAATCTTTCACATGGTATCAGAGCCTGGTTGGCTACTGATTACCTGATCTCTCTTCTACAAAACCCATTTCTCTTCTTCTTGTTTCATCGTCAAAAACCTGGTGATCTTCAACAATGTCTGGCAAGGAAGATAGCAGTAGTACAAAGCGATCTGAGGGTGACAAGGAAGTCCTTGTTCCTTCCCATTATGAAGATCCCTACAGCAACCCGTTCTATCTGGCACCGAGTGACAACTCATCATTGTCGGTGATCAGTTTCAAGCTCAATGACGATAACTACCTTCTCTGGAGTGAGTCTATGGAGGTCGCCCTTCGCACCAAGAACAAGCTGGGTTTCGTCCTAGGTTCGATTCAGGTACCAGATATCACTAATCCCTCTTATGGCACTTGGGATAGGGTTAATGGCACCGTTGTGTGTTGGATTAGAAACTTTGTTGCAGAAGATATTGTTCCTAGCCTCAGGAACATCAAAACATTTATGAGGCTTGGAAATACCTCAAGTCTAAGTTCTGTCAAGGCGATTCTGTAAGAATTGCAAATCTGCAGGAGAAGATTGGTCTAACAAAGCAAGGGGATCTATCTATTAAACAGTATTATACTGATTTGAAGTTGCTATGGGATGAGCGTGTTTTTTATTTACCCATTCCATATTGTGATTGTGCATCAAGAACTTATGAGGCTGTTATGATGTATAAAGAGCGAGAGAAGGGTCATCAAGTTTTTGCTGGGTTTGAATGAAAAATACCAACATGTGAAGACTCAGATGTTGATGCTTGAGCCACTTCTAGATCTTGATAGCATCTATCGTTCTGTGATTCAATTGAGAGGCATTTGAATGGAGCCAGTGCTAACAATGGAAAGTCTGAGGAAACAATTTCTCTTGCAACTTCCCTAGCTGCTTCTAGGGTTCCTTACAATTCAAATTCTAAGCACAAAGGGTTAAAGGAAGAACAAACTGGAGGAGGGGGTCTTTTTTGCAGATATTGCCAAAAGGATAATCATGTTATACAAGATTGCTGGAATCTTAAAAGGAAGAACAAAGAAGGAGGAGGGAACCATATAGGTTTTGCAGGCTCTGTTGATGTCAATCCTACTGAGAAGACACCTTTAGGAGGAGGAAATTTTTCACCTAAAAGTCCAAACAGTAATCCAGATAGTCCTCAACACTTCTCTGGATCGCTTGAAGGCTTTACTCTATAGTCCTCAACATCAATCATCCTCTTCCTCAGTTAACTCTATTACATCTAAGGGGTACACCATGTCAGGTATTACTATTCTTTCCACCTATACAGCATCAAAGAGTAAAGATGTATGGGTGCTTGACACTAGTGCTAGTGATCACATTGTGTGTTCTATGCATTTTTTCCTTAGATGTAGAGAAGTTAAGGATATGACAATTACCCTTCCAAATGGCCAACAGGCAAAGGTTACTCATACTAGCATAGTCAAGTTACCCTGTGATTTCTTCCTTACCAATGTCCTTTTAGTCCCATCCTTTAGCTATTATCTGATTTCTGTCAGTCAGTTAACTAGTAATAGCCCAGTCTCACTGCATTTTGAATCCAACTTTTGTTGTATCCAGGACCTAATCTCTCGACAGAGAATTGGTTTAATCCACGTAAATAGAGGGCTTTACTTGCTTGGGGAGTCAGTTGCACCTGGAGAGAATCTCAAACCACATTTTCTTGGAGTGACCATCAGTGAGAGCTCAAAGTTGTGACATACCAGGCTGGGACATCTTTCTTTTCCAAGACTGCAAGAAATAGCCAAACAAAGTAGTGATGTAATAGCTACAGAAATGAGTGATTGTGAGGTTTGCCATTTAGCTAAACAGAAAAGATTTCCTTTTAATAGGAGTATTTCTACTGCAAAGGAACCATTTGATCTGGTCCATATTGACATTTGGGGACCAGTTGATTTAGTGTCTTATGATGGTTTCAAATACTTCCTCACTATGGTTGATGATCATAGTAGATGTGTATGGCTATTTTTGATGAGATTTAAATCTGAAGCACGAGGTTTAGTTCAGTCATTTTGTAGCATGGTGAAAACACAGTTTGACAAAACTGTTAAGGTGATAAGGTCTGATCAGGGGCAGGAGATTAACATGCCAGATTTTTATCATAAGCATGGCATTTTACACGAGATGAGTTGTGTTAAAACTGCACAACAAAATGGCAGAGTAGAACGCAAGCACCAACACATTTTGAATGTGGATAGGGCACTCAAGTTTGAATCAGGAGTCCCTATAGCTTCTGGAGCTATCTGGTCTTTCATTATGCATATCTGATTAATAGAACCTGACTATAGTTCTTTAAGAACCTTTGGTTGTCTTGCCTATGCTACTGTTTTGGATGAACATAAGAAGAAGTTTGTAGGAAGAGCCAAGAAGGGGTTCAAATTGTATGATCTGGAGAATCACACCACCTTTGTCAGTAAAGATGTGCAGTTTGTTGAATATGCTTTCCCATTCAAGGCACCTGAGAGTAGGGATTCTGCTTTGCCTTCTTCTTCCACCTCTCTACCTGTTTCTCATATACTTCCTCCTGATCATAATCACCATGAAACTAAAGATCCATCTTATTCCTTTACAGACACAGATTCAACTCCACCTTCATCTCCTCTATCTACTCCTATGGCTCAAACTCATGTTGCTGCAATCAAGGGTTGCCACTTACATCATATGGATGTAAGCAATGCTTTCCTCCATGGTGACTAAGAGGAGTAGGTTTATATGGAGGTTCCAGATGGTTTGAAGCATATAAGTCCCCTACAAGGAAAGGTTCTGAAACTTAATAAGTCCCTTTTATGGACTTAAACAGGCCAGCAGACAGTGGTTCATCAAGCTGTCTAAGTATTTGAAGCACATGGGATTTGATCAATCCCTTGATGACTATTCAGTTTTCAAAACACTCTCAGTTGTCCTAATTGTGTATGTTGATGACATACTGTTGGCAGGACCAGTTTTGAGTGAAATTGAGCATGTGAAGCAAGAATTGAAGAAGGGATTTAAAGTGAAGGATCTAGGAAACATGAGATATTTCCTGGGATTGGAAGTTGCTAGATCAAGTGAAGGAATTTCTTTAAATCAGAAAAAGTTCTGCATAGAATTGTTGGCAAACTCTGATTTTCTAGAAAGTAAACCAGCAAAAACTCCATTGAGCATGAAGACTGTCCACTCAGCGGCAGATGGAGTTCCACTAGATGATGGATCTCACTATAGGCACTTCCTAGGACAGTTTCAGTACTTGACCTCAACAAGACCAGACATTACATTTCCAGTTCAACAACTCTGTCAGTTTCAGGACAAACCTACAACTACTCACATGAAGGCTTTACACAGGATCCTTAGGTACTTGAAAGGTTGTCCAAGTCAGGGTTTATGGTTTTCATCCTCATCTACACTTGAATTAAGAGGATATTGTGACTCTGATTGGGCTACTTGCCCTGACACTAGGAAGTCAGTGACTGCATACTGCACCTTCCTATGAGATTCATTAGTTACATGAAAAAGCAAAAAGCAGAAGACTGTTTCCAGATCTTCTTCAGAGGCAGAGTACAGAGCTTTAGCTCAGCTCTCATGTGAAGTTCAATGGCTGAAATCACTGTTAAGGTTTTATGGGATTGAACATCAGCAACCAGTCAAGGTGTTTTGTGACAACCAATCTGCTATACACATAGTAGAAAACCCAGTTTTCCATGAGCGAACAAAGCATATTGAAGTTGATTGCCATGTTATTCGTGAGAGACTGATTTCAGGACTACTTACGCTTCACCACATTTGAACAGAAGAACAACTAGCAGACTTATTTACCAAAGCCCTCTCTGTTGACAGATTTCAGTATCCACTGTCCAAGCTTGCAGTGCATGACATATGCCTGCAAGCTTGAGGGAGGTTGTGAAGCGAGATTACCTTGATCACCAGCTGCTTGCAAATCTTCAGAGATGTTGCAGAAGGAAGAACAGACAAGCTGAGCAGAGCTTCCCTTCACTATGCTTAGTAGACAGACGGTGACCTCAAAGTAGCATCATTTTCCTTAAGTGGTAAACACTCCACAAAGCAGAACGACGCAGTATTGATAGGTTGTAATTAGTTAGAGCATTTAAACATTGCTTAGCCACTTGGCACTCTTTCATTAGTTAGTTTAATTAAATGTTTCTCTTTACCATTAATGTACAGTGTTCACTGATATATATATATGAAATACAACAGAGGAAGAAGGTATTCCGCCGATTTCCCACAAGAGTGCTCTTATCTTCTTTCACAAACCCTAGTGTTTTTGGTAGTTAGGTTAAATCTTTCACGGTTATAGAAGGAAAATTCAAAAAGAAAAAACCCTTCCTTCTCGGATTTTTCATTCTCCTTTGGTTTTGGGGGGTGAAAGAAAAACCTCCATCTCAAAATTTGGACAGTGGCCCCCGACTCCCGAGCACGATCTCCCACAGGCGCTGGCCTTCCGGTTTAGAGACTGGGCTCAATGAGAGGTTTGGCGCTGGCCCAACAAGACATTATGGCTCTTTATTCATAATTCATGGTCTAATGGATATATCGCACAAGTAGTACCTGATGGCTGGAGCATACTATGCTCCGTGAGCATACGAGTCTAACCCTTATATATATATAGTTCAGGTTAGCGTACGCGCCGTTAAGATTTGCTATTTAGATCATGAATTAACCAAAGTTTGGGGCATGATATTTTATCCTAACCTCTAATGGGTGAATCTTAGTCACCAATTCTCTAACCCAAGAAGGATCGTCAATGAATTGCTTCTTAATTAATTGCTCTGTTTGAATTCCGCCACGACCGCCTAGCATCTCCAAGGAATCACTGTTGGACGTGAAGTTTGGGACGTGGATGAGGTCTTGGATGGCCGACCCTGATTGAAGGTCGAAAGCAAAGCGGGGGTCGCGTTTGGGATGCGGTCTGGGTTGGAGGAGAGTGGAGGGGTGGTAGAGGGCAGAACGACGGAGGTGGGTGTCAACGAATCTCGTGTTTGAGGTGAGAGAGAGAATTTCCTCGACGGTTTCTGATAAATCGTTAATTGCACATGTTTTTACCCCTATTCTTGAGCCGTTTGAGATGTTGATTCTCGTGTTTTAGGCCGATTTCACGCTAGGTTGTGCTTTTTGTGATATTTGAGGTCCTAGTACATGAATGAAGGTTTGGGAGCGAGTTCGGGGTCGATTGGACGAAGATCGGACGTGTGGCGAGTCGCTGAGGAAGCCACACGGGCACACATAAAACCCACACGGCCGTGTAAGGAACCAATGTGACCGTGTGGGATTGTGCGAGCCTTCACACGGGCAGACTGGGCATGCCACACGGCCGTGTGTCCCTGGCCGTGTAGGTAGCCTGAAGTCCAATCAATCGAAACTCGGCGTTTTGTCTCTCGCACGGGCATCTGGGTAAGCCACACGGCCGTGTGGCCTGCCCATGTGAGTCAGGAATTCTGGTTTTAACCCAAATTCGAGCTACAAGTGAGAGGATCGACTTTTCAGAGCAAAAACAGAGTTTTAGAGAGAGAAAGGGCGAAGAACAAACCCTAGGAGCTATTTGGAGTGGATTTCTCACCATTGAAGCCCAGATTGTGTCCCCAGGAGTGAAGATTGACACCCCTGAGCAGATTTTCCTCATCTTTATGAGTATGACTACTCTGATTTCTGTTTTCCTCTCTCTCTCTCTCTATGGAGTAGAACCCTTATCTCACTTGGGTATGAAGAACCCTAGTTCCATGTGTTAGGATCTTGATTGTAATTACTTAGGATGATTATAATGTTTGGTTTTAATCGCATGATGCATGTTTCATTGAATTGATTGAAGTTTAATCAGCTTTTCTTGATTTCTGCTGCAACGTAAGATAGATAGAATCTGATTAGATTGTTAGAGCCTCTTCATTTGGTAGTAGTAGATTGTCTATACGAGAGTTAGTCAGTCTATTCCTTTGTACTGGAATCCAATTCCAGTAGTGGAGTTCTGTGCTTATTGCTTCAGCTTTCTATCCCAGTGAAGACTAGTCGACTTCCGGGTAGTTAGTCTGAAAGGGCTTGGTCAGCTTAAGAGATTCCAAGTAACTGTTGGATCTTCCGTTGTCTAATCAACAGTAAATCAACCCAGGGCAATTATAATTGAGACCTAACTAAGGAGCTAGGGGGACTCATTCCCGAGTGACTCTTCCTTTGCTTGAGAAAACGGAACCAATTCCTGCTTTCTTTCTGCTTTCAGTTAAGACCAAAAATCAATCGACTTAGTTTGCTAGATAATAGATAATCACGGAGTAGGCAGTAGATCTAGACCCCGGGTTGATATTTAGAACTTGCCACTTTACTGCATTCCCGGACTGCAATTACACTTGGTCGCAGTTTGATGTTGTGTTTTGGCGTGTCAAGTTTTTGGCGCCGTTGCCGGGGACACTTCTAGGTTATTGGAGAAACGTGAAAATTTGTTACTCTACCTTTTTCTTTATTGCATTTTATCTTTTCCACCTGTGTGCCTTCACGGGTTGCTTCTGCTGATTGTGTGCAGGTAGTGCATGACCCGTAGCCAGTCAGGAGATCTACTACCATTAGACCAGGAGCTTGAACGAATCTGAAGGAACTTCAAGCGGGCTCTAAAGGCGCGACTGGCTGCGGAGGAGGCGCTAGCACAGCAGCAAATCGCCAAAGGAGAAGAAGAGATGGGTGATCCACAAGACCATGATGTGGTCCTTCCCGAGGAGTAGACCATGGGATACTACTGGACCGCCAGGGCCGAGGACATGAGGTCACCTATTCAACACCCTCATGTACCA